TATATATATATTAATTTTTACTTTAAAAGAATGCCAAATCAGTTTCGCAATCCTTTTTGTAAACCTGTCCAAACATGAAACAGTTTTGCTCTATGGAGCTGTACTTTGCCCAGCAGAACAATAACAGACGCTCACTTTTTAGCCACGTTGACTGAAAACAATTTTATGTTCTCTGGAAGAGATTTTCAAACGCACTAACTGAAATTCATTTGTAGCTGCTCCTCCAGGCTTCGGGAAGAGAATGCTTTCTCTTCTGAATTTCATGAAATCATGGGAGCATCCCAAAGTTCTTGCCTTTGAAGGAAGCACCTGCAGTAACTGGCCGTGAGCATACACTTGACCGCATAGCATTGGCATCTCTGAAAAGCGACCAGCGGGAGCCGGAGCTCAATCACATGTTACTCTGTGATGCATTCTATGACTGAGAAGTCACTTGACTATGCAATCAAAAAAGCAATTTCTGAAGTATCCAAGCCAAGAAGTCCTAAGAGTGTGAAAATAAAAGGCCCCAGAGGGCCACAATGTCTTAACTGCCAAAAGCTGGACAGGAATTGCTTAAGGGAGAGATGAGACTTAACATTTTATTAATTCTAACAAAAATATGACCTCTGTAGGTTTTAAAAAACAAAAAAATCCAGCATTACCACAGTAGTTAATTATGACAGGTTTCAGCATTTATTATTAGATAATTTCTCCAGGACAAAGTTATCAGCAATTTTGGCTTCCAGCTGCATTATTTAATTGTTGACCCAGCAAGTGCTTGAAGTGACACTACAAATTGTGCTGTCATGTAGGAAATCAAACACATGCTGTCTTGAATAAAAACATTTCAAGCAGTATACCAAACCATTCCAAGCATTACACAAATGCCCAGCTTCCTTTCCCCTTACCGTGTGTGCCACTCCACTTCATCTTTTGCACGCTCCTTGCGAGCAGCTCTTTGTTTCTCTTCTAGTCTCTCTTTTTCTTTGCTAGCCACATCTAACAAACATTTCAAGAGAAATTGGTTAATTAGCAAAACAGAAACAACAATCCAGAAAACACAGAAAAGACTGCAGAGAAATGACTTATAGTTCATTTAAGCAAGAGAAAGCATTTGCTGTACACAATCTCACTGAACAAAAACCTAAAACTGTCATTTCAGAAAAGTCACTACTACAAACACAGAGTCAAAACTGAAATTTTGGCATTTCATCCATCAGAAACACTGCGCTGAGACAGCAGGAAAGAACTTAGACTAGGCATAGTAGACCGTGATTTTTTCACTATTTGCCCATGTGTTTTTTCTGACAAACACCAGAGCAACAGAGCAAGTCTGTTCACCACATGTCTTTCCAGACAAACTCCAAAGCAGGAGATCATGTCTGCCAGTTCCCCCCAAGTTAGCAAACATGCAAACACACCATAACATAGGATAGCAGTCTTGAGATCCACCTTGGACACATTTGCTCTCCCAGAGTTTTCTGGGAGAAAACAGAGACCATACGTTGTTCAAAAGCATGTTCATTAACACAGGATGAAAAAGAGTTAAGGCTGCTCTGGGAATGAGAAACCAAAGGTGTTTCAACCAACCTCCCTTCAGTCATCCCTCTCAAAACTTACTAATGTGAAAGTATTTCCTCCAGCAAACACATACCCATGTTTCCGTTTTCCATATTTCTGATATCTGGACGTAGCCGACAGTCAGTGGGAGCTAAAATTGCTTCCATGCCCTTTTCTAGCTCATTGAGACTCACAGCAAAACTGGTGAAATTGTACATCTTAAAAGCAAATTAAAGATAACATACAAGTTATTTTGGCAAAGTGGCACTGGGTTCCCTATACCAAATGGATACAACAGAACTTCCAAGAGAAATTACTGAGTGAAACCTTCTCTCACTGGTTACCCTGAAAGCAAGGTTAGGTTCATAAAAAAACAGGATTTTTTGTTGGAGGGGAGGGACAAGGAAGGGCAGAAAGGGATGGAAAACACATTTTTTAAGCAGTCTTTGCTTTGGAGGATCAAGACAGATTTTCCTCCATATCTGGTATTTAATATCGTTTTTATGAAAAAAATCACCCACACCTAGAAGACTAAAAAGTCTTGTTGAAACAATTGAAGTTAATATCCAGCTGCCCAGTTACTGCATTCTTGGAAGTCTGTCTTCTAGCAGCAGGATCAGCAGAAGGGAACATGCATCCCTATTTCAGTCTAAGTGCAAAGATCTTGCAGACAGATTAACCTAAGACACCAGACTCACACTGAAGCAGCCGCAGTCAGAGCATGCATCCTTTCTACCAGCTTCAACACAGCAGTGATGCTTTCACCACAGGAACGAAGCAGGGAGTTTGCTGTAGTATAACTTTACTGCTGCAGCAAGAATTACCAGTGCCCGTCAATATGCACGCTAAGAACATAACACAGTGCTAACACTTCAACAAGGTTTCCATTCAACATTACTCATGTTCCCTTGGATAAGTCACTAGCAATGGCAATACATAGACTGATTGAAACAGTTACCTGTGATGAGTTTGGTGGCCTACAATTTATTCTCCAAAGCAATTTACTGCCTGGTATGAACTGCACCGTGTCTTGAACCTCTGGCAGATCATCAGCCTCATCATTTTCGGATTTAATAACATCTTCACTCTGAAACAGAGATAACATTTGGCAGGGGAACAAAGGGAAATTGGACAGCTTCATCTAGAGTTCTACAGCGACTGTTGAAGAATCTGTTCAAATTTGAGATATTAAACACCGTCCTGTACTTCTGCCTCACCCCTTATGTTTGCTTTTCCTCACTCTGTATACTGATCCTCTCATTTTTACTGTAATCTCTTGCTCCTGATATCTCTGAATAGTCTCCCACCACCTATGTACAATTTACTCATTTTTTTCAAACAGACATTCAAGTTGTACATAGGTGGTGGGAGACAATTATTACTGCCAGTTTTCTCACTATGAAGACTGTGTACTCAAGTTTATAATTAACAGTGTCTTTCCTACCAAGCTCCTTTGTTACCAGATGCACTGCTATAATGCATATATAAAATCAAATGCGGTATTCTTCAAGAGGCTGCTCTCAGAATCCGAGAGAATCTAACTGTTGTAGGACACAGACAGCTACACTGTGGAATTTCTGAGATTTCATCATGAGAAACCATTTAAAACCACAACCACCAGAAGGGAAGTTTGAGGCAATAACATCCTAGACTGACAGTATCACAGTTTTTCTCTCTCCCCTCACTCCCACCCCCTTTCTGTTTTCTTTCTGCTGCCGCTGACATGGCTCATTTATTTTCTTAAAAAATACCCTATTAAGTTAAACAGGGCCTGTTTTATACACTAGAAAACAGCTCCATATGGTTAAGAGTCTAATTTCAATCATTTGGTTTGAGTATTCATTATTTTAAAAGACTCTTTTAGGCTACTTTCCATGTCAACATCTGGTTTACTGTTAGACAGTATCACCATCTAAATATAGACTCAACAGGAAGGACGGAAAAAAAGAAAGAGTTGATTTTCATCAGATGAACAGAACCTTACTACTTTTTTTTTAAAAGTCAAAATATAAGCCTGTACCGTGATGGAATCCACAGCCAAAAGCAAGGCCTGTTGTGTTCTACATTATTCTGATGTGAATACTTTTTAATGAAAGTTTCAGCCTCTTAACGTTAAGAGTGATTAGCTTCTGTTTAACTTATCATTTTCAACAAGCAACCAGGGTCTGCAAGACCCTGTCGATATCAGGAAACCCAATAGTCTGCTGATGCACCATGCAACATTTTTAATTTTCCATATAACACTGAGGCTTTGGCGGTAACTTACCTGACACTGCTTACATACGATGAAAAAACCCTGCAAGTTTCCAGACCCTGTGTTGGCAAGGCTGTCTACATCATAAATTCTGAAAGGCTGCATCACTAAAAAGCATGACTTAAAAAACATGTAATTTTTTTTTTTTAATGCCCAAATCCTAGTATTTTTACATCTGGAGCTGGCCGTAGAGCCACTTTCCTCATTCAAGGACTGGACAACATGAGCTTGGGGGTTGATATTGGATGACTTCTCTTTGACAAATCTCTAGCAAACACCATTCCTATCAGCTCTCTTCAATACCAGCAGCTCACACTAAAGTCTACACAAGTTTAAAGTGCAAGAACTTCTCATGGGACTAACACTGCCCACATCTGACCCCTACCAAAACACAGACTGTTTTAACCCTCCATTCACCATCACCTGACCATTTCTGTAAAGAAGATGTTTTCCTTTCATTTCTCATATTTCAGTATCTTTTCTCCCTAAAGAATCCTTAACCTTACCGGCTTCAACTTCTTCTGCTCACCACCTCTCTTTTCATTCTTTTTGTAAGTCTCATAGGTAGTGGGATCAGTGCACCATAAACATTCCGTCCACTTGCCATAGATCACGCACAGCTTCTTTCTGCTGCAGAGAAAGCAAAGGAGACTTAGCTTTACCTTCTTATAAAGCCTTCTAAGCCAAGTCATGCAGATTCTGATCTATATTAAATACCCAGCTTCCTACTCGTATTTTATGTTTCTTTGCAGATTCTTAGAAGCCAGATATGTGATAATGCAAAGAAAAGGTTTCAACTTATTCCACTCTTTCTGGCATTCAGTCCTGCAGAACACAGGCTCACGACTTAGTCACATGCTTTTGTCACTGTTAAAATAAGTGTGGGTGCAATAAAGCCAATAGTTTACAACATAGAGACTTGGAGTCACGAAACAGGTTTGGGTTTGAATAAAAATTTCTATTAACCATATTCTCATTATTTTAAACTGAAGACTGGAACTGTGACTGTACAACAGTGAAATCAGTGGTGACTACTCTGCATTTTCTCTGGATTCTCTTTACTTCCAAAGACTGGACTTGAGAGTTTTTCTAATAATGCTTAAAATGATCACTCTAGAATCAATGGGTTTAATACTGACACAGAGTACAGAAATGAGTTTCAATCTGTATTCCTAGCAACTTTGCAGTCACATCAGTTGTGGTCACTAAGCCAGCAAAAGAAATATCACAGCACTCAGAAACAGAGGCACCAAGAGGCTTTTATCACTTACTTTTTGTCCTGAATGTATCCCTCTACTCTGTGAAGCTCTTTCCCAAACAGTCCACATGGTTTAAAATTAAGGACACATTTATCTCCAGTACTGTAGAGGAAATAAGTACATGCTTAAAGAAGCAAGCCCCTAAATACATTACTAAGTCTACTTTACCTTACTTAGCTTTTTTCACATAGTTACAGTTAGCCAGGGAGTAGTTAGTTATATCATTATTTTTCTTTAACCTTGGTTTATTAGCTCACCAGGGCATTAAAAAGGCACACAAATTTCAAAATTCCACAAAAAGGACAAAAAAAGAAGTCAACGTGCAGATGAAGACATCAGCCTGTGAAAGCCAACTGAAAACATGACCATACTTCTAAGTTTCATGTATATCTAGAATTTATCAAAAGTACTAGGAATAAAACAGAATGCAGTCTTGCATACTCCTTAACCCACACTATTAACTCACTGCATTTCAGATTAACAACTCTTTACAGCCAACTGTAATGAGAAATAACTTTACAAATTACCTATGCAAGAAAATCCAGTTAAGTGCATTCAAAAGTTACCTCTAAATTGCCTAATAAAAATTCTAAATGAAACTTTTTACAAATATAAACCAGCATTATATTTCAGCATCTTCCTTGCATTGAGATGTACACATACGTAAATAATCTCTGCCAGTGAGGTATCAGGCCAAGTTTTTATGTCAAGCACAAAGCATACAGAGACCATCCTGGGTCTTTGGTGCAAATATAGGAGACAGGATTGTAGATTTGATGCTATGAGAAGTATCAAAACAGCAGCCCTTCTGGATTAAAGCTCCCATTTATGGACAGAAAAACATACGCAGAAGTAATACAATTTTCACAAAATTCTCTCCCTCATCATTACAGGAGGTAATTTTATTTAAGGTAAAAAGCTTTTATATAGGCACTTGGCAGAGCAATTGACATGCTCTAAGTTCACATTATCCTACTCTGCAGTCCTTTTTCTGCACCGTACCCTTAATTGAAAACATTATTATCAAAACTAAAAAGAGTGCCAAATCACAATCAATGTGATGGAGGTCCACTGCAAGCCTCTGAAAATTATTCCGTTTAATGGTTCTGAAGTTAAATTTAATTTCTGTTCTCTGTCAATAGGGCTGAATTTGAATGGGTAACTCACAAGTGTAAAATCTTTGTATCCCATAAGCCATCTAGCCTTGTGCCTTTTCATTAATATTATTATGATACCAAGCCCAGTCCAACAAATAGTTTGCATTTGTCAGAATTGGGGGGGGGTGGGGGGAAAGACAAAAAAAGGTAAGATTTTGGACCTACAAAACAAAGCTTCCTGTGTCTCTAGCAAAAATCAAAACTATCTGCTTTGTAACAAAAGTGACCATGCACCAGTCCCTACAAGCCAACCCTCAGTTTCATGATTAGCATTACCTGTGATTTACAATTTCTACCGTTCCATATTGTTCTAACCACAGTTTACCAATAATTACATTATGTACACAACAGGTTGGATTCGTCCATGTGTAAGCTTCATTATGTCTGTAAAGAAAATAGAAAAATAAATCATTTTCTTGAGTTTGAGATGGAATGTAAGCCTGTTCTCAATTCTGTTCAGGGCAGGGCAAAATATTTAGCACTCCTATGAACTGCCAGCAGTTAACTTCAAAACAGAAAAGAAACAGACTTTTCTTTATAAGCCAACAATGTGTTGTATCTAAACATTACTGCAAGTTAATAGAGTGATACTCCTTTTATTTTTTTTCATTCTCACAGAGTTGAAATAGTAAGTTTTATGATTGCTGTGATTTTGATTACAAATTCCAGCCCAACATAAACAGCAGTCCAGAAATTAATCTTTTTCATTTGCACTTTTAAAGTTCTATGTGATAAAACATAACTCTTGCAGGAGAACCGGACTGACAAACTAATCTATCCAATTACTGCAGTAGCACAGTGAACTTCTTCCTAAAGCTCTTTCTTGTAAACCTCTATCATAATCTAGAGAGTACCTATTTGTGATAAAAAAAGCACTGGACATAAATATTTGAGTCTTCTAGCAGAGAGGTTAGTCACTATCAGTTCTGACAAAGGTTTGATATGAAGACACTCCTCCTCGAGGGCTGGTCAGACTAACCCACTTAAACAACTTTTCATTTTACAAAGACAGAGTGGTAAAGGCTTTTGAACCTGAAGAGAATGACCCAAGTCAGCAAACTGTGTAAGTGGTTTCCACAAATACACCACAAGTTTCCACATCGGTATATGAGGCCTGCTGCAGTGTCACTGAAGGCAACTGGGGGGGGGGGGGTGGTTTTGGGGGTGGGTTTTTTTTTGGTTGGTTGGTTAACATCAGTGTGACACAACAGCACTATATTCAAGCTTCATAATCACAACACTTAAAAATCCAATTTATTACTCAATTCCATCCTTTTCCCAAAGATTTACTGAGAAGAAGGAGAAGTCCAAGAATTGAAGAATTTTCCACTTAGTTTCATTTTGGTTTTAACATTTTGTGAAAAGATTTACAAAGACAAGCTACCAGATTCTAAATCCTTAAAAGACATTATTCTAAAAGTGGTCAAAATGTTAAACAACAGGATTCCTATTATCACTAGCTCAGCAGAGTCAAAGCCATCTATTCTCACTCATCTTTCCATGCTGGTAAAAGAAATGCTCAAGTTACCTGGTTGGCAATCAATCCATCTTAGGAAATCTTGCAAACTCTATTTTATACAAAAAAACCACAGAAACAAGCAGTGTTCTCTTTGTAACAAATGCCTTGTGCTTCTACTTCCAGTAAGTATGGAGAGAACACTCCCATTTAATGTTTCCAACTGGTCTGTCATTTTCCAGTACAGAGGAAAAAAAGATCATTGAAGTTTGACTATTTTCCACAGCAAATTGTCTTCAAGCATACTTTAGAACAATGACTACTCTTCAAGTGGGGAAGAAATACCAGAACTCCCCATATTCATCCCACCAGCCTTAGCACACATTTTTATTCATGAACTACTTGACACCAAAAGCTGCATAGCATAAAACAAAACACAAGACATGGCCAGTGCTGATAAATTGAAACACTTATTTGTGCTAGAGAAGTGAGGAAGAAGTGTGCTTTCTAATGCATGTTTTCAAAAACATAGTCATCCTTAACAGAAATGCAGTACTTAACATTGACTTGCAATTTTGCTTCCTAAACAGTTACTTGTACACTCAGGCCCTGAGCAGTTCTCCGACTACTCAAACCAACAGAATGGTACAAGACACAATACTGAGAGACTCAAAATTTGATTTCAACTTCTGCTGCTACCTTGAAGTAATTATTTAAAATAAATGCTTTAATCATTTACATTTCAGTTTAAACCTGTGCCCTGCAATTTGATTAGGCAGAGCAAGAATTTTAATAGTCTTCTAAATAAAGGCTCTCTTTCAAGTAACAAATTTTATTTTTGTCTGCATTCTACACTAACATTCATAGTTCTTTCTACATTCAGAAGGAATTTCCTCTATTTCTATTACCATTTATATCCAAGACCTGTTCATACTTTCATAAGCTTTGGAAGATTAGATGCCGGCAGCTCGAAAATTAAACTATACTTTCAAAAGAAACTACAGGAAAAGCCAATGCTTGATATGGCAGGCAAGTTGACTCTTTATTGAAACCAAATGTCTAGAAATTTCTCAAGCCAACATTTCAAAACAATCTCAGAGTTAGGCCTGAGGAGAGCTTTTATAAAAGCACCTTTAAGTATTCAATTGCAGAATACTTTTTCTGCAACCATTATCTAGTGCATCCTTGTGTCCAACTTGGGAAAGCTCAAGAGCCTTTATGCCACTAGGGCACCAATCAACTTATGACAAGTCACATAATTTATGAGAGACATATACAATAAGAGACAAGCCTGGGAATAATCTGGACAGGCATTCTTGATTTTATTAGGAAGGTGATCGTACACTGGAAGTGTTAAACAGGTGACAAGGCAATCCTGACACATTTCTCATGTTCCCTTATCACATAGAACAGCTGTTCTGAAGATGCAGTTCTTTCCACAAAAACATATGCACACAAACAATCAAAATCAACAACAACATTTAAAAGAGAGATGAGCTTGAATAGCCCGGTAATAGAATTTTCTCTCTCTATTTAAATTTTACATGCTTTCACAGAACTAGCTTTCAGTAGCACTCAGTTTTTAGGAAATGCTAATTTTATAGTGGAAAAACTGGGTCAAATTGCTACAGCTGTGCAAGCATGGTGTAACTTTAAAAAACAGAGCTCTGAAATTAAGCAGTGAAAATTAACTTGTAAATAAACTCTTACAACCTCTTCAGCAAGAGGTTTTTAGACAATCACCTATGAAGAGCCAATAGGATGATTATCACTTATCTTTTTATTCAAGTAAATGTTAAGGAGATCAATATAAAAAAGGTATTTACTTCTCATACTCACCTCAGAAGCTCCAAAGTAATTGTTCCCCGAGGCTCCGCTTCTATGCTCTTTCCCCAGAATTTTAGTTTGGGATAGATTGATCCATGAAAAATAAAGTCCTTACTGAGGCCTTCAGAATAAAATGCACTAATAGGTGGGTGGTGGCTGACTTGCTCAGATATAAACCTAAATCCTAAATCCTCCCTAGTAACAACAAAAAAGAGCATTAAACAGTAAATATTGGGTTTTTTAATGTTACAAGATGAGAGAGGTACTTGATAGTTCAAAAAAATTTGAAGGATTTTGAGATTAAAGTGAAGGTGAGACTTTTCCTTTTCTATTCCCATGACACATTTACAATTAATGAAATGAAAGAATTTGTTCTCTGAACACTTTCTCTTTACACCCAAAACCAACCCATACTCAAACACCTAAATGACTTTCCACCCAGAAAGGCATTTGAAGAAGTTTCACCGAAATAACTCATGAAAATATTGAAACTCTCTGGGCAGCACGAGAAAGTCTGATTGAAAATTCTTTTCTCCACTGCAGACATATCACCCATTTATTTAAGCTGGAAGTCCTTCAGACTAACTCCTCTATCTGACATGATCAGCAAAATACTATTTAAATCAGTCAATAGTGTCTGGTCAGGAAATGTCTTTGGTAGAAGAACATGGACCAATTTTTCTCTAAGTCAAAGAATACTCTGCCTAAAACTAGAAATAAAATTATTAGCTTTTATAAACAACTTCTCAAAAATTTTGAGATAGTTTGGGGAAAAGAATTTTAGCTATACTCAGAAATATTTTTTAGTAGATTCTTATTTATTTCACTGAATAAACAACCAAACTACTATGAGAGTCTGCTAACTCAAGAACACAAATAGCCCCAGCTCCCAATTTAAAGTAATTATTACCTGGTTAATTCATAGGTTTCTCCTAACAGCGGGTTAAATGGTTTGCCAGTTCTCTCCCACTGAGAAGCTACAGCAGAAACTGCAAAAGCAGCTACAGCCTATAAGCAAATTAAGAATATATTGTTACAAAACCAGTACATTAAAACTCTAAGTTTAGCATATTATATTTGTTGCACATTACCGTATTTCATTATTCTTCCAAAAAGAAAGTGCTATATATTGCTTAAGGCCAAAACATTTGTAAGCCCTAGGATAAGTGATATAGAAGTGGGGAAATATAAGCAGTTAATAAGAACCTCATTTCCAAAGGGAATTATTTTCTGTAGTAAATTTTGTCAGGTTACACTCTGCCCCATGCCTCTCCACCTACCTCTAAGAGAACAGCCTGTTTTTTTTAAATCTATTTTTCCCCTATTTTGACTGCCCCCCACACTCAGCTCATTGGGAACAGTCTTGCTTTTCTTAGTGTCAGGCAAGCATTATTTCTAACATCGATGAGATTTCTTCAATCGTACCAGCAGGTACAAATGACACTTACAAGCTTGTACAGGCTGATAAATAGGGGTATGTACTACGTAAACACAGAACAAAAGATACACATTCCAGTTTCACTTAAGTAAAAGCAGAGCTATAAGCAATACTGGTATAACCTAACGTACACAGGCCTGGTTTCACCATATTCAGTTCCCTGTAGTGAGACCAGCCAGGTACTATATTCTACTCCCAACAACAACCAGTTTTTGAGAAGAAAAGTGGTTTAGCTTGTCTTTGTCACAAAAAATTTTCATCCAGTAACTTAAAAGTCATGGAGACACTCAAGAAGTCAATTTAGGATGACTTAAAGCCAAGCTTTCATCTTCACAACACATAAATCCACAAAAAGAGTCACCATTAAAGCAGTCCTGAAAAGGGTTGAGGTCCTTGGGCATTGTCAGTTGTGGCATTCTCCTGCACTAGACTTTTGGCTCAAAATCTGTGCACAGCATCAAGTGTGAAAGCATCACAAATATCTGATACAGCCACTATGAAACAAGAAACTTGTCTAGACAGACAAATATGGGCATTCTTATGATGGCCCCAGGGAAAGAAATACACTCAAGTGAGAAATTGTCTTAAAATGAAAGACTCTGGGAGAGAAAAACTTCCTCTGAACTAACGAGAAGGTGGTAGCTGTTACTCACCTGCATTCGTTCCAGGGGGTCTGCATGACTACAAGCCTTATTAATGAGGTATATATGTTCCATATATTCTGTTATCCGCTGAAGGAAACTCAATGGCTCATTGAAGACAATAGGCATCGTAATCTTAGACAGCTCCTAGGTAACAAAAGGATAAGTTAGTTTCTTAGACACAACACTAACAACTGACGACAAGAATTTTGAAAATAAGTTGTGGATTAGTTTATTTATAGCATTCTTCAAAAGACATTGGGCAAGCCTGTAGTAGACCTCCGAGTGTTACAGCTGAAAGGGGCTAGAAGCTCTGCAGAATGCTACTGGCAGTCTGAAAGAATAAACAACTTTGAAAATTGATCCAGCTAACCTAGTAAATGCAAGAAAAATGTTACCTTATATTCTGTGGTCTACATAAAACTGAAGAAGTTAAAATTTCCATAGATAACAGCAACAATATGCCAACCAGCTCATTACTGATACTTAAGTACCAGCATTCCTTTAAAATCTTCACATATATATTTGCATAAAATCTAACTATTTTACTGCAGAAACCACAAATTATTTTTTGAAAGGAACAGTTACATAAAGAATAGGACTTGAATTGCTCTAACAAATTTTAGTGGCTTTATTTAAGCAACCTGTTATTTGCATCAGAAGGTTTCTCATTTCACATGTGGATACAAAACAAGACATGAAGTTCACACAGAGATTTCCAATTCCCCAGGTCTTTGACTATATCCAAGCAAATTTGGCTGTTTAATTAAGAATTTGCGCTCATGACTGAGCACTAAACCATCATTTAAGTGCTTAAAACTTAGTGGAAAGGAGAATGCCACCAGGTGAAGTTTATGCAACATCTTCCTCACATTCTCACAGGTAGTAAAGAAAAAAAAACATTACCCCTAATCGACTTAAATTGATTTGGTCCAAGCAAAGCATTCTAGTAGATAGGTCACTCATCTTAACAAAAGGAGTTTTGACAGTACAGCTGTACCTTCTAGATGACATAAGTTAAGCTAGCAGAAAGGCTCACTGACTTGTCTGTTGCATTCACAAAGGACTGTACTGGCAGACCTAGACTAGATATGCATGTAATTGCTTAATGCTTCTAAAAAGGGGCTATGGCAGCAAGGCCCTCCAGTGTAGAACATCATTTTCATGCCTAATTAGAATGAAGTAATCAAACATGTAACTGAATTCTTAAAGGATAAAAGAAAACAGCAGTGATGGCCAATAATGATGCAAGCATCAGGGTCCTTTATCAACACAGAGCAATGTAAAGGTCTGTGTCTCTGAGTCTAAGAATAAATCTTGTGACTCAATTACATCACACCATTAACACTTCATGCCTACCCTGGGCTCTCTAAGAAACTTTAATAGATCCCAAGCTTTTCTATCCCTTGAATCAGATGAAAGCAATTTTTTTGGCACAAACAGCTTAAAATTAGGAAGGAAGAAAACAAAAACAAAAAACACACCACAAAAACCCCACCACCACACTAAAATAAAGCAGAGCACATTGTGTTAATCAAACCATATTTGACTATATTTTTAATGGCTTTAGTCGAGTTCTTACAGGACAGCATCAGAAATGCCAATTCACATGCTCAAACAGCTAAAGAAGGTAAGGAAATAGTACCGTTAGTAAATGAATGTTGAGATTTAGAGAGCTGCAGTTTAAGATAATGTTCCCTATGGATAAAAATGCAAAATGTACAAGGTATTATTCTGTGTCTGAAGGTTTAAGCAATAAAATTAACCAGTTGAAGTTAGGAGACCTAACGTCAGCATGTTTCATCCAAGCTAACTTACCAGTCCAATGCATTTTTTTAATATGCTCCACACACTAAAATCACTTCTAGAAAACATTGGGGCAGGTAATGTTGTCCTGTAATTGGAAAAAAGCAACTGTCATTATCAGCCCCTTAAACAACAAGACATTTTCATTTGTAGGTACTGAAGTAATTTATAAAGGAAGCAAAACAGTAACCTAGAGTTGACATAGGAAGCAGACAAGTGAAATGTCTTTTCAGTTCCAGAGAATTAACCTCTTCCAATGAGAACAGTAATGCCCCAAAAGATAATGAGCCAGCACATACTCACTTCTCATTTACTGTGGAGTACTATGTGTTTACCTGTGTCTCTTAATTCCATTTTCTTGAATCTCTGTCTCTCCATTATGCTTTCCAGTCCTATTGCTTTGGTGTGGATCTAGATCAAGCATTTCTGCAACTTTATGATTTGCTTCTGAAAAGTCTCCTGAAGAATTGTCAGAATCAAAGCCTGTATAAAAACCACAAGGCAACAGTTTTCTTAGGAACCTACTATGCCACAGACTGCCACTCACATTTTGTAATTCTCACAGCAGTACACTTACACCCTGTTATTTTATTTTAAAGAATTATCAGAGTGAAAACTATTTATTAAGTGACCTAATTTCCAAGAGTATTTAGAGCCAAGTATTGCATTAGAATCAAGAATTCTCAACTAATTTTTCACACTGCTAAAGACAAAACCAATTTAGGATATTACAGTAGCTTCAGTAGCTCCAGATCAGATAAGCTGTATTGTCTCTTCTTCAGAGCTGCAGTGGGATTACAATAATTTTGTTCAGTTATTTAGTTTTCCTCAAAGACCTTAAAAAAAATTTAACTTAGACTACTTACACTGCTAACAGGGAAGGCAGAAAAAAAAAAAAAAAAAAGAGAAAAGAGCCATTTCACAATCCAGTGGCGAATATCCAGACTACTACAGCAACAGAAATATAGGATATCGAACTTCTTTTTGCCATCCATGTGTGCAAACCACATAACACTTCCCTAAATGGTTACAGCAAGAACCTGCAGACACCAAGATAAATCATTCCCTGAGCTCTACAAGCAACCCAAAGCATGACTTACAGTAGATGCCTCCATCCACTTGGGTAGATAGCCACTGGAAACACCATTGTAACTAAATGCTAGCACCCCCGATAACAACATGCTTTGAACAGCTTTAACCATAAAAAAGTCAAACCAACAGGAATCTACAGGAGCACACACACACTCGGTCACTACCAACAGCAACAGGCCTCTTGTCAATGCTGCTACACAGATTGACTGCAGAAACAAAACAATTGTTAACAACAAATAAGGATCAGTTGCAGCATCCATACAGAGCACCCTAAAATGATGCATTAACACCATCCACCTTCACGACTGGCACAGTATTGCAATAGATAGCACTGCTGATCATTCAGCGTAATAGAATCATAGAATGGTTTGGGTTGG